AAAAATGTCATGTCTGACGTTTTTAACTAAAAAAAACATTTTTTTGATTTTTTAATTACAAAAACGTCGAGTCTGACATTTTTAATTAATAAAATCATTTTTTTTTTGATTTTTTAATTACAAAAACGCCAAGTCTTACATTTTTAACCAAAAAAATCAATTTTTTTGATTTTTAATCAAATCTAACGTAAAAAATGATTTTTTAATCATGAAAACGTCAAGTCTGACGTTTTTAATAAAAAAATCAATTTTTTTTATATTTAATTATAAAAATGTTTGATGACCCGACCCAAAATTTTCGAGTCAATCTGACAGTATAATGATTATAACTCACTAATAATTACCAAGTTACTCTAGTTAATATGATAATAATTTTATTCGTAATTATAAGGTACAGTATTTCACGTCATCCTGAATCGACGATTTAAGGTAAACCTTTTCAGAATTTCTGACTTTAAATAAACTTTAGAAAGGTATAATACAAGTAAATTTTTTTTATTAAAAACTGACTTAAGAAGTCAAACATAGGCTACGAATTCTCTAAGGTAAATTCTCTTCGTTGCTATCTTTAAATAAATATTAACTTGCGAAACTTTGAAGAAAGTTAATAGTACAATTATTGAAGAAATTTATATCAAAAAAATCATTTATTTAAATAAATTTTTTATTAATGACGCTATTTTTATTATAAGCATACTTTTTCTTTTAAATCAACATGTTTTGATATTAAAAAAAGGAGAGGTTAGACAAAAAAATCCATAAATATTAAATTTTATGTCTAAAATCATTTATTGAATATGTCTTGTTAACGAATCCTGTACATAAGATGTATACTTGCATTATTTTTGAATGTATTCAATCAAACTCATAGTTTGTGAGAAATTGTAAAATTTTCGCCCGTTTTTAATTAAATTCGTGTTCACGTGATTTTATTAAATAATTTCCTCATAACAATTATATACCTCTGGAATTTAATATCGTGTATGATACAATTGATACATGTCTATTAATTATTTTAGTTATAAGGAAAAAAGGAGATAGATGTTTGAAAATTACCACACTTTATATATTTATGGGGGATTTCATAAACGATAACCGCAGAAGCGCAGATGAGCTTTCAACATTTTACTAATAATTTAATATGTGCTGCCAGTATGTGCTATTATGAAAAGATCTATCCATGCATAAAAATTTTTTCCTTTTTTTTCTACTAATATTTTCTATATACAATTAAGAATGTTCTCTAAAATACTAGTCGCAACTATAAAGGTTTAATTTGTCCAAAGTAGGTATAGAAGTGCTTATTTTGACAAGAAATTCTATCATACATGATTCTGTAGAAAGCTGATTCTCGATCCACTCGTTAGTTAATATTAAAGTGAAAAATACTAAATAATAACTAAATCTTATACGTCCGGTCGTAGGTTACTGAAGACCTGGTATTTTTGAGAATTTTGTGCTTTGCTTTTAGATAGTTGGGTAGTTTGTTTCTTTTGATAACTAAATGAAAATAAAATCATAAAATATATGCTGATAAAGTTACGTTTAATAATTGAACAAGTGAATCTCATATCAATTAAATACAATTATGGGAGAGGCCTCTATGATCATGTATAACATTAGTGTTCTATCTAAAAAGTAAAAATATTTTTATAATGTTCTTAATTTTTCTTTGCGACAATAATAGGACAATTTGCAAAAAGAAATTAAAGAAATTATCGATATTGTAAAAGATAATAATGATATTTATTAATTGCATTTTTAATTTTAAATTTTTAGCCTTTATTAATAAATCATACAAATCGATAATCATATCTGATATATATCGGAGAACTATAAAAAATTTCAGGTATAATTAGATAAATGATATTTGCATGTTTAGTATGTAAATATGTATTATACTGATGCTTTAATAAGAAGAATCTACTACTACCACACCAAATTAAATGGCTAAATCTCATATTAATAGACAAGTTTAAATAATCATAATCTATAATTATATACCTGACTGAAAATTATTTAATAACTACTATTACTAAATATGAAATTTTATCCTTTGATAATTTAATAGACTTATTTACTCATAATCCCAGAAACCATAACAATATTCATGTCCAATAACTCCTTCTGTCTCATTACTTTTAACAAATCTACGCCAATTACTGTTATGATCATATAAATGTAAAGTTTTCCTGTCCCCCCAATTACTAAAAAATGAATTAATTGATTCAATAGTAAAGCATTCCCTATTAATATGAATCTTGTATAAACTTACTGGAGCCAATTTAACCAATAAATCCAAAAAATTATCTTCTTTTTCTTGTACAATTACATCTAATGCCTCCAAGCGTTGACAATTGACTAACAAATTCTTTAAGTCATCCAGATTATTATTTAAGAATACAGTAACATATTTTATATTTGGACAGCAATTACATATCGCCTGATTATATTCTATTGAATGGTCATAATCAATTGCCCTGATTTTAATTTTCCAAAGTTTATTATCAGTATTTTGTATAATATTTTTAGCTATTAAGAGTGATACATGATGTAAGTCAAGTACTTGAAGGTTAAAATAAAATCCACTCATCAAATATTTCTCTAATGTTTGGCAATTAACGTAATTAAACTCAAAGGATTGTAAATTAACTAGTTTTGGAAAAAGAACGTATATGGGAGAAAAACTATCATTAAACTTACATAATCTTATATGTAATATTGAATGAATATGTTTTTCTAAAGCGTGAATAATCATTTCACACTCATATTTAATATTTAAGATTACATGTTTAATTTGTTTTTGCATCTTAATTAATTCTGCAAGTCCAGAATTGGCACATGTTAAATCTATATTAATTATTTCTATTAATCTGCATATTTGACCCAATCCATATAAATGAGATGCAGATTGTTTTGTTGTACAAATCAATTCTCGTAGGTTTGAAAAACAATTATTTGCTCCTGGAAAATCATGAATTGGATAATCTAATGAACATATATCTAAATGTTTAATAGATGTACATTCACTAATAAAAAGTTTAAGAAGTTCTTGATCCAATAATTCTGGCTTATGATGAAATCTATAACGAGTTTCTAATTTAAGATCAATAATATATTTGCAAAAACTAACATAATTAAATGAAAGTCTTTGACTTCGATCAAATATAATGACATTTTCATTTTCTAAGAACATTTTTGATTGTTCTGATAAGTGTAAAATGATAATATTTATTAATGATGACCATTTTTTACCATACACATTTTCAAAAGGATGACTCCACAAAATTGGAACTACAAGTTTAAACCAATATTTATTAACAAATAAACAAGAAAATAGTGAACCATTATTCAGTTCTTGAAAAATTTGATAAAGAATATCACTATTTAACTTTGACATTTTTCAAAAATTTTTTTTTTAAAAATTATTTTTTTAAGAGTAGAAAAGGAAAGTATTTATAGGATTTTCCTAATCATTTGTCATTTATACATAATCATTTCATTGATTGACATTGCATGTAATGTCGCAATTATGATGTAAATTTACGTCGATCATTTCTGTTCTGATCGAATTCATACATTATCTATGGCAAGCTGAGTTGGACGACATTTTACCTGTTCATGCTTGATATTCATCTGTCCGTGCTTGATATTTATCTGTACGTGCTTGATGGTTTTATCCGACCATGCTTGACATTTTTATCCATCCGTGCTTTACGTCTGTGCTTGATATTTTTGTCCGTCTGTGCTTGATGTTTTTTCCGTGTTTGATTTAATCCAACTATACTCGATAATTTTATCTTTGTCAAAAAATTAGTTTCTTTGTCAGCACAGATATTTTGTCGGCCACATGTTTTTAAGTTTAGCGTAGTTTTAAAAAATATTTTTTTTTTTTTTTTTATAAACAAATTTTGTCGAGAATTTTTATTTTTAATATAGGTATTTTTTTGATGGAGAATTTTGTTTAGTAATCTTAATAGAAAATTTTATTGAAAATAGTTTTTTTTTAATAAATGTATTGAGAATTTTAGTTCGAAATTTTTTTTTTAATAAAGAATTTCATTAGGGTTCTTTTTTTTATAAAAAATTGATAAAAATTTGTTGGAAAATTTTTTATTAAATTTTACAATTTTAATAAATTTTTACTCCTCTTCATCTTCCCATCACTTCTTTTCATCTCCCATCGTTCCTTTACTCCTTTTCATCTCCCATCACTCCTTTTCATCACTTCTTTTCATCTCCCATCACTCCTCTTAATTTCCCATCACTTCTTTTCGTCTCCCATCACTCCTCTTAATCTTCCCATCACTTCTTTTCGTCTCCCATCATCCTCTTAATCTTCCCATCACTTCTTTTCGTCTCCCATCACTCCTTTTTATCTCCCATCGCTCCTCTTTGTTGCCCATCACTCCTCTTTGTCTCCCATCATTTTTTTTCGCCTCCCATCACTACTTTTCATCTCTCATAATGTCCTATTTCTCCTTTTTGTTTCTTATCACTTCTCATTATTCTTTTTTATGTTACCAAAATTTTTGCTTAAGATAGAATTAATTAAAATTTATTGTTAGGGTTACCCATGGAAATAGTTGAAGATTGAACAAGTCACATGATATAAGGCCAGACCCTTCTATAATCTCTTAAATTTTTATCAATAATTATACGAGCAATCAAGAACTCTGGAGGGAAAATCAGAAATTCTGCAGCAGTCACCTCGACCATTTGTTGAACTTTGGGAAGAGAATACAGATACCTTAGTAGTTTCTGAATCTGAAGGAAAAAATGGTGATCTATCATCTGAAGAAGATGAAAGATTGGACTTTCTAAACTTAGATGGATTAAATACCTTTCCAACAGAGCAAGAACCAAATCAGCCTGTTTTACCACAAGATCAGCCAATTTTTGACCTACAGATACCTCAAGATATACCACTTTTACAACCTATATCAGCTTTATCTAACCCAATGGAAGGAGAACAAAGAATCCAACAAGAACAGGACCTACCATTATTTCAGGATTAACAAATTCCACAGAAACAGAATAATCAAATGGTTCAGCAACAATAATAAGATCTACCATTATTTCAGGATCAACAAATTCAACAGAATCAGAACAATTGATTGTTTCAGCAACAAGTTTGAGATCCAGTTCCATGAGATAATAACAACAATCAGAATGACAATGTTAATAATGGTAACTTTTTGGAAAGAAATAATATGTTGCAGATGGCCCAGTTCATCCAACAATTTTTAAATCAACAAAACCAGCAGAATCAGCAAAGTTGGGGAGCATTTTTACCAACTTTTAGTGGAGAAAATCAGCAAGATCCTGTTGCTTGGCTTAGAGATTATAATGCTGTTTCTGAAGCCAATGGTTGGAATAATGTTCAAAAATTGCAAGTATTACCAGCTTATCTAAGATCTACTGCAGCTGATTGGTATCAATCATTAAAGCAAGATAATCCAGGATTTGTTACTACTTTGGGTTGCAAGGTTTTAATGGAAATGTTAACAATTTTGAGGATAGATTTTTAAGAAGATTTCTAACTGTAGCAATGATTGAAGTATGGACTATTGAATTAGAGTAAAGAGTACAAGGATCTGATGAAACAGTTGAGCATTGTGTTTCTGTTTTGCAAAAGTTATTTACTAGAGTAGAAGGATATAATGAAGCCCAGAAAACTCAGAAGTTTATCTCAGGACTTACTTGAGATCTGTACATAATGGTACAATCGACACATGATGGAACATTTCAAAATGCAATAGATAGAGCAAAGAGATGTAAGATGACTCTTATGGCTGGGAAGAATAAAAACGTAAGCAACTATGACAATAGTGCTCAGTTGGAGACCACTCAATTGACAAAATGATAATGAAACTTTCAAAGTCTGTTTCAGAAATCAAGAATGAAATTAAAGAAAAAGCAGAAAATCGATCTCACTATAATGGCAGAAATAATAACTCTCAATGGAATAGAAATAATAACAACAGTAATAGTAATAATGGAAGTGGCATAATAGTAATAGTACTACAGGAGGAAATAGATCACCTATTGTTTGCTATATATGTAGAGAACCAGGAGTCCAGGACACATTAGTAGGACTTGTCCACAAAGAAATAATAATAGAAGTGGTAATGGTGGTATAGCTGCAACAGTACTGAATCAACAATCTCAGCAACCTCAACTTGCTCAATCTACTCAACCTTTGAATGCAAACAGTACAAATAACTTGAATTCCAATAGCAATGATTTAATAGCACTCTTAGTACAGCAATTGTTGGCCCAAAAGGGTGCCAATAGCACTATTTAAACTAGTACCAAGCCACCAAATGTTATTACTGATTTAGTCTGGAGTGATAACTAACGTCAGAGATATCAAATTGAACAGTTGTGGTAAAAAAGTCAAATAGTAAAATTATAGGTGTTTCAATAATTTGTAATGAAATATGGGAGTATCACTAATAATTCCCAATAGAAAATTAATAATGAAAGTATGATTCTGGTAAATAATGTAAGAGTTTCTTAAAAATAAAAATCTATCAAACAAATAATGACAAATACAAAGGTAAAACAAGTAAAACATGCAAAAAGTTACTGCAAAAAAAAAACTAACAAACAAATCATATAAAAACACAAATACACAATACTTCAGATAACACAATCTAAACTCTCTGTTAGATCTACTCAGGTGTTAACAACTTTTATTCTAAAGAAAATATTGCCCTATATATGTTTACATTTTCACACATGACAGTTTGAACTTATCAATATTATCCTATTATACTAATATGATTAATCAATCAATTGTCCTTTTTTCATTGCAATTATCTGTAAAAACCTTTCTATTGCTATTTCGTATAAGTTCCATGTGTCTATATGATTCATCAACTATGTAAATTTCAAGAAACTTCTCTAACTAACTAATAAAGCAATTTACTAATGTTATAATAATTAAACTGATACTTATAAGTGAATATTTATGAGTCAAAAGCAATAATAATACTAAAAGTGGTTAATTGATGTAAGTTAATTAAATAAAATTAAAATATATTATAAGAAATGTTTCATATTGTAATAAACTCAGCATAATCATAGGATTTCTGCATACTACATTATGTGACTTGTCATTACTTTATTGTTATTTCATTTTTTTATTAGCATCTTTCTCCTTGTTATTGTTTCTTTTATTTGTACAATTCAATAAAAATATTTTTTTCTTTAAAATCGTAAATGTGTGACTTAAATTTTAATATTAGCAAATAAAATTTCATTAAATAAGATTATTTTGAATAAATATGTTTGCAAAATATTTTTAAAAAATATCTTTTGCAATAATAACAGATCGAAATTAGATACATCATGGCTTTTGAAAAAAAAAACCCAGGCGATGATCGCTTAGGCGACGTTTAGTCGTTTAGCAATCCCCAATTTTTATTTATATATATTTAAAGTATTTAAAATAGTAGATTTTCATGTTTTTATGCCAATTATTTAATATTATTAATAAAAAGAAAAAACACTTCAAACAAATTTCTGCTATATACTTTTTTAAAGTTAACATTATTTTAAAAACTTTTAATTTATGATATATGAATATTATATGATTATATAATAAGAAATTTGTAAAAAAATTTTTATGGAATTAAAAAAATATTAAATTAAAAAAAAAAAATACTAAAAATTAAAGTTAAAAAAATGAAACAAAAAAAACAAAAAAAAAAAAATTCTAATAATTAATTTTTATTTTATTACTTTGTAAGCGAGCCAGCTCAAGCTTTTTCGAGCTGGCTTGTCAAGCATCAAGCCAATTTATTAAGTATGGCTTGGCTTGCAAGCCAGCTCGGCTCATGTGTGTGGAGCTTTACTAGTATATAAATTTACTATGCTATTTAGGATTCTATCATAGTTTTTTTTAATTTTATCTTAATCTTATTAATGTAATTTAATATTTTTTTAATTTTATAAAAAAAGATCTCTAATGAAATTCTTTATTAAAAAAAAAAAATTTCAAGCCAAAATTCTCGATACCCTTATTTAAAAAAAACTATTTTCAATAAAATTTTCTATTGTCCTATTAAAGAAAAATTCTTTAATAAATCCTCTATCAAAAATAATCCCCCTATTAAAAAAAAAATTCTCTAATAAATTCTCCGTCAAAAAATACTTTCACCTATTAAAAAAATTCCCAAAAGAAATTCTTTATCAAGGAAAATTCCCTCCTATTAAAAAAAAAATTCTTAACGAAATTCTCTATCAAAAGATATGTCCAAAAAAAAAAAAAATCCTATTAAAAATTCTCCAATAAAATTTAAATTTTTTAACGAAATTATCGAAAAAAAAACTCAGAAATGTAAATTTTTTATCAAAAAAAGTCTTTTTATTAACCAAAAGAATTTTATCAAACAAGCCTTTGCCTATAATAAAAATAAAAATTCTCTAAAAAAATTGTTTTATTAAAAAAAAGTCAATAAAATGAAAAAAAATACTTCATGTAAAAACTATGCTAAACTTAAAAAACATGTGATTGACAAAATATCACCCTGTGCTGACAAAGAAACCAATTTTGACAAGATAAAATTAAAATCAAATACAGTTGGACAAAAACATCAAGTACAGACTCAAACACGGACAGATAAAAATACCAAGCACCAAGCATACAGATAATACATCAGATAAACATCAAGCACATGATAGATAAACATCAAGATAGCACGTACAGACGTACAGTCGTACAGATAAATATCAAGCACGGGACAGATGAAAATCAAGCATAAACAGGTAAAATGTCAGACACGGGGTGACATTTTGTCTAGCCATGCTTGATTTTTTATCGCACAATGATAATTTTGTCCAACTCGGCTTGCCATAAAAACTAGTATACATTTTCAGTTGTCTCATATTATGCTAATATTAATAATATTAACAGATAGATAACAGGATTTATTATGAAACAAACCCTTCGAACTAATAATATTATTAATTACCTTATTAATAATAGTTATAACACAGAAATAGTCAAATTTGACGTATTAAATTTTGAATTTGTGATATCTAAATTTAAATGCTACATATATATTAATAAGGGTATTTGAAATTATTTATACCATGTTCTCAAGATGACAAATTATTTTGAAAAATGATGCATATTAAATGGAAAAGAATATAAACAAATATTAGTATTTATTAGAATACTGTAAATAAATAAAATTATTTCGTAAATTTTGAAATGTTATAATGAAAATGTTAACAAAAAAAATAAGTGATTACTATTAAAATTTATAAAAAAATTTAATTTTTAGTTAAAAAAAATAATAAAGTATTTTATTCTGATTTTTACAAAAAAAATAATGAACAGACAAATACAAAATTTTTATGCAACGGTTTGCAGTATAGTTGATCAAATTTCACACTATATATATTATAAAGCAGCACTTTATACTGTTAGATTCAGTCATATCCACCTGCTTACCTTCCTAATCTTGCTCTATCCTATATAGTATGTGTAATATATAATTTATCGGGTTATTTCCTATAATATAATAGTAAATGAGTATCATATTCCAGATTCACAGCGGTCCATTTCACTAGTTTAATGAACAACCTTGTTTAGAGTTTAATTAAAGCGGAAAAGGGAAAAGCTAGTATATGATAATTTATTATTAGGCAAGTTTTGATTTTAATTTAGTACCCATTTGAGTTGATTCAAGAAATTTTATAAATTTATTTCACATTTATTATTATTTTTTTTAAAAAAAAATCACAAATAAGTTCGTTAGTGTATGATTGAATTGAATTTTTATAAACACTTTAGGATCATTCTAATAATTAAATTAATTTACTTTATGAAATTGCCAATTTGCCATTAAAAAAAACGAAAATAATACGATGATATTGTAATAATATATTTATTGTTAATCCAATAATTGATATATAACATAAACTATAGCAATATATAAGTAGACTACTCTTTTGTTACACTCGAATTTAAATTTAAGATTTTTAATTTTTTAATGAATCTCACCTTATCACAAAGTATTATATCAATAATAAAATCTACATTCCATATATTGATATATATAGTACATATAACTAATTTTACTTATCATGTTAATATAAATTGCACAAAATAATTAATCAACTTAACTTATAAAATCATAAATTTGAATATTCAAGTCATTATAATTTAATACTTGTATATCATGTAGTTTAAATTCTTCAACTTTTCCTTCCAGGAATAACACATCTTCATATTTTACATTAAAAGAATCAATAGCCAAATACTTAACTCTTTTCTTTTTCATAATATATTTCTCTATGCAAGGGAAAATATCTTTATTTCCTTCTTTATTTTTATTTCTAATTAACAATTTTTTAATAAAAGTATTTTGAGAATTTTTTAAGAATACTTCAAAATCATCTTTATTTATTTTAAGATATAAATTCAAATATTCTAATTTAAAAGGAAGTATTTGTCCCAAATTTTGTAATATAATTGGACCAATATGACAGTTCATATAAGTAAAATCATCAATCATAAGGTAATTAAGATTTTGTGCCATATTTTCAATTAAATTAAATAATGAATATACAGTTTGATAATTCAATTTAGTAATGGGACCCAGATATTTAATTTTACTACAATGTGTTATAATCAATTGTAGTAATTGTTGTGGTTTATTACTTGTGATTCCAAAATTTTCTAAATAATTGTTGGATTTTTGTATCAACAATTTTAATGGTTCAATTTGTAATATAGAATGTAGAAATAAAGATTTCAATTTAAAAGGTTTGGTAATATTATTAATTTGTTGAATAAATTTAGAATCCAGAGAATAACAATAAACAATATGAATTGATTCTAAAACATTCAATTGATTAAATACTTCACTTAAAACATCTATATTTTTAAAATTAATAGAACAAAATATAATTGTATTTAACGTGTTTGAACAATTATAACTTTTTAATGATAATGATAAATGGTATAAGAAGGGACAATTATAACCAAATGTGATACTTTTAAGGTTTACTTGAGATTCAATTATTTGTGATAAATTTTTTTCAATCATTGGATAATAATAATCATAATATGATATAAATTGAAAATCAATAGACGAAATTGAATTACAATTAGAGTAGATAGTCCTTAAAAATGTTGTTAAATTATCAGTTACTCTATCAAAATCAATTTTAAAATTTTTGATATTACAAATTAAATTCGGATTTTGTAAGAATAATTCAAAAATCTCATCAAAATATTCAAATTCTATATCATTAAGCATCATAATTTTAAAACTATGTAAATTTACTTCGTTTTCAATGAATATTAGAAATAATGATTTATAAATAAATTTTGTAAAGTTTGATATTTGTGAATCTGATAAATTTGTTGAAGTATGAACAGTTACAACCCAACTTTCAACAGAACTACTAATTTTAAATGTATTTAAATGTTGAATAAAACGAGGATAATCAAATAATGTATTTGAAGGAAATAATTCATTACTAATTCCATATTCATTTAATTTTAATTTATCATAATCATTTAAATTATGTAAATAAATTTCAATAAAATGATAATTTTTAGGTAATTTCATTGAAAATGGGTCTTCCCATAATAATGGAATTGTTAAACGACACCATAATCTACAAACTAATATACATGAATGTAATGTTTTATAATCATAACGAAAATATTGTATAACTTCGTTTATTAACTCAGGTAAATCTCCTGAAAAAATTTTCGAACATGCCATTATAAAGAGAAAAGAGAAAGGAGAAAGGAGAAAGGAGAAAGGAGTTTCCGAGATTAAAAAACGTCAAATTTGGCTAATTTATTAAATGCCACAACTTGCTCTGTTTGTCATACAAATCATTTTTTTGCATATTCAATACATGATCTGCAATATAAGGCGTAAGGATTTAGCGTTGCATGTAACTTCGGACAAATCGCAAAATTTTTTTATTTCAACAAAAATCATATAACAAAAGACAATAAAATTTAATAAATTTATAACAAATAATTATTAATTATTATCGCTGTTTTCGATTTAGTTGAAACTGATTAAATTATAAATAAAAATAATAAATACCGAAAACACTTACGTCACATGTTGATCAACAATGATCAGCCAATGAAATTTAAACACATAATAATTTTTCGCGTTCAAACGTTCAAAAGAAAAAATTTCAACATTATGCCTTTTACAACCTTACAATAATTAGAAAATTTCACCAACCATTTAAAAATAATAATTACTATTTTTTATAATATTTCAATTATCTGTAATTTGATTTGAATAATTTTTTATTTAAAGATTTAAAGTTTATATAATTATGATGATTTTTTTTTAAAAAAAAAAAATCAAAATCTTAGTGTTCTGTTAATCTGTAATTTNTTTTTAAAAAAAAAAAATCAAAATCTTAGTGTTCTGTTAATCTGTAATTTAAATAATTTTTTAATTTTTGAAAGAAACAAATCTTTTTCTAATCACAATCCAAAAATTGCCCTGACCCAAGTACCCACCGCATTTATCTATAGATATAAATATTTATCTCTAGCTGCATATAAAAATATCTTGTTTATCCAACATGGTCTATAATAAAGTGAATAAGAATAAAAATCAGTAATTATTACTTGCTAATATTATACAGTATAGCCAATATAATAATAAACTTAGTTTACCTTTTAAAATAATGTTAAACTTTGCAATCTAAAATACTGGCAAGTGCTTTATTATTTTTTAATAAGTATTTTCAGTTAAATACTCCAGTTAAATAAAAAAAAACAATAATATTTAGTGTGAAGTTACAGTTTCAGTGAGGGGCTGCTATTATACTCCCATTATATCTGGAGTTGAAACGCTAGTAATCTCACATTAAAACATTACGAAAATAAAAAAAAATAATAAAAGTAATATAGGAGTGGCTTAGCATGATATGTTAATCAAAATATTTTTATATGTTAATATGTGAAACGACTGAAACGTGATGCTTTATTAAAGTTTTCGGTCTTTTTATTATAATTGATCGACAAACCGCAGTTTCAACCAAATTTAAAACGGCGAAGATTTTATAGGTTTTTATTTCTAATTATAAAATTTATTTATTATTCCAATCGTATTATTATTAAATCTTGCCACGTTTTTGGCATAATTTCAGTTTTTTCCCCAGTATAATTTTTCCAATGACTTGAATTTGGCGAACATTATTTAACCATAAGTGTTCTTTTGGTTTGTCATGATTCTTTAACAACTATGTGGCTTTAAATACAATTATAAAAGATTAGGACTACATAAATAAATATGATAATATAAAATTATAAGTACTTTGATAACTTCGCCTACAAGGTAATCATTAAAATTTTTCATTTGTAAGGTCACAAGTATAATTATAATAATATAAGGACACATGTGAAATAATTTGACATGCTTCTTAGGTAGAACTAGCATGTTCCCACCAAAATGTATGCAATAAAATAGGGTTTAAGACTCTCTCGTTACTAATTTTACATTTAAAAACATAGGATAATACAGAGATATCTTTTATGACTGAAGCAATAGGTATGTCTAGCCATCACTGGAAATAGTGAGCTGAATAAGCAGTATGATAGCATACAGAAGAAGAGGGAATTTCATTAGAGGAAGAATTATTAGATGAAGATTTACTATTGCAAACTATATTGACAAAATCCTTGAAATATAAATCTGAGGCTTATTCCAAATGGAGACGTCCTTAATAGTGTTATAGAATTAAATACTTTATTAATAAACTCTTTAATGTAATCTTCGTTAATGTGCTCCAATAATTTTCTAGTAGAAGGACCTATATTTTCTCTATTTTTTCTAAGTAATGATATTTCTTCTTCGTATAGAGTTTTAAAGTTATCAATTTGCTTCATAAAGTAAAATGAAAATGGAAATACACAACTTCTAATATTATAAAAATTATCCAATTGTAAATCAAGACCACTAACGGTCATCACATATCCATCCGGCTTAGGTTCTGCAAATATGTTGATATCAACAATCTTATTATCCATAAATATATCTTGCCAGAAATTAAGAAATTGTACGCGTCGTATTGACATTTTCAGCTTCTAGTAAGTCATGAATAAGAAATGTTTTTGTAGCTCCTAGGCGCTCTATAGAGCATAAAATTTTAGTAATAGTATGATGAACCAATGTACGGATGTGTGCTTGTAAAGCAATAGAAAATGAAGAATACGAGTATAATAATTTTTTGTTGATATTACCAATCTTGTTTGGTTTTTATTTTCAACTATTCTTGCGTTCTTATTTTTTTACGAAGTTTGGATGTTCAAGATCTTTCTATTTAAATATCTAATTAAATAAAAAGTTTAAATAATTAAAGCTTTATTATATCCAAACAAATTCACTTTTTCTTCACTAAAATAGCAGCAATACTTACTTCACATGAGATTTAACATTGTTTGGATAGTAGACACCATAACATTTCTTTGTTTCAATATCTTCAAATGGATAAGTAGTTACATAAATTGCCTTCTAACAAAACGGATAAAGGACTTTCTTGTTTTAATGTTTCGATTGTAATTTGTTTCCATCCGCACATAAAGTTAAAAGAGATGAAGAATAATGCAAGCATGTTTATTTTTAATAGCATAATTTCTTGTACTTTTAGTAAGGATTTGTTCGATAATGAACTTGGCTAATTTGATACATTCTAAATTTACAGTAGTGGTATCACATTGTAATATTAATAATTCGTAATCTGACACGAGCCAAAATTTTTTAATTTGTTTTCGAAATTGATTCTCGGTTTTTAAAGTTAGTTTCAAAAAATAAACATTTTGAAGTTACATTCTTTAAGCAAACTGTGATATTTGTGCTGAAAACATGTTAACTATGATTAAATGTCCATCGGATTAGTATTAGCATTTTGTTCATGTAATATATCTTGGAAGTACTGTAATCTGCTATATCATTATGATGTTACGCACATCTATAATTGAATAAAATGGATTAATAAATTATTTGATTATTTTTTAAAAAAAAGTAAAATACACTTACCATTATTCTAATCAATATACTATAAGAAGTTCTTCCGGAAAATTGTGATCCCAATATTACACTGGATTAAAATTCATTTCACGTAATTGATACGTCAAAATATTTGCAATAAAATCACTTTTTCCTATCGCCATTAAATGCAAAAAATCTTCGCTTGTAAGATTTTCATTTATTAAAATGCTGATGGGTATTTGTTCGTATGTTCAACTTTGTATTCATTAAAGTTTTAATAACAGCTTTAAAATATTCCAAACATGTTTCGGTATGTTTTTTGAAACCGCCAAAATTTCTTGCTAATGCTAAATGAATATTTTTAAGAGTCAGAAGAGCATAATAATCACGAAGACCATGAAAATTTGGGAATTCATTTTGTCCTTTTTACTTCATATTCAGAATATGTTTCCGCAAAAGGTTTAAACTTGGCTTTTTGATTTTTGATCTCAGAAGATGTTTCTTGCAAAAGTTTCAAACTTAGAACTTTCATCACATGCGATCAAAAATTAAAAAGCTAAGTTATTCTTGTCTAGAATATCTAGTAAATGAACAGCGGTCTCAACTAGGTCATTCAAATCAAATTTTGGCCTCTGCACTAGTAATTCCCACTACTTTTACTATTATCCAATTCCAATTTGAAATTTCCAATCATTCCTACATGATCATCTGGTATTCGCAAGATTTTATATTTATATTTTCTTATGTTATAAAAATATTGTAAGTATTATAATAAATTAGCCAATTAAATTTGATTGGTCCAGGATAAACATCTGGACCGGTGTAAGGATGGCCGTAATCACCAGCATTACATATTGGTCCCTGACCACAACACTCTGGAATGCGCTGTCAGCATAGTTTAACAAACTATATCTGGTTATATATAGTAAAATTTACTATTGAATATTTTTTTCTTGTCATATTGGCTATTAAATAAATTTTTCTAAGAAGTTTCCCATTAAGGTTAATGTAATCCCCCATCTTCATAACTCTGAATTCTTTTCACTATTTTTTTCAAAATTCAGCAAAAGTATCCCAAACAATTACAACTTTCATGTAATAGAAGTTTTTTCTAATAAAAAATTATTTAAGTTTCGCCAATAATAAGTATTTACTCTTGAATACATTTCCATAAGATAAAAAGTTTTTTTTTTAGTATTTTTTTGAAAAAGCGAGATATTATGTTATTCTTTAAGTTATTAATTATTCTTTAAATTTTTAATATTTATTGAATTCTAATTAAATGCAGAAGTTATCGAATTTTAAAAATTTTTCTAATAAAAGACAGAAAATTCCCGAATTTGATATATATTAATTAATGACCAATAAAAACCTTATTAACATTAATTAGTTGACAGCGCCCCGCACCCCAACAACACTCGTAATCTATTGCGCCACGCACGTGATGTTGTAACCGATGCAGTCACATTCTCCGTAATATAAAATTACGAAATATTCTTATAAACCGTTTTGTGATTTTTCTTTTTTTTTGCAAACAGTTTGATTACAGATACACTTACAAAAAAAACTTCTGAGTAGAAATTTTTTGTTTTATACTTCTTCTTTCGTAACTGTAAAGTGTAAACATAATATAAGCTTCTTCGAACGAGGTAAGCCACGTAAATTACTCTTAAATTTTATCAATAGTTTGTAAGAAAGAAGGACGCTTCAGCAGTAGGCTGTGTTCTATCGGAATCCAATAATGGCAAGTCATCATCCAGTGGATGGCCGGCCTTGTGCACACTTCAGTGGTTATTACCTGCCTTTTATCAAACAATGCAATTAACATGATTTTTTTTAGAATTTCCATTTACCGAGATGTCATCTTCACGCGTAACAAAAAAACAACGAAACATTGATTGGATGATCTCGTGCAACAATCCAACACCAATCGTTTTATACAACCAACACGCGATCGAAAATTATGGAAAAACTCTTGAGCAAATTATCGGCTTATGTGAAGACCTGGATAAAGTATCGAAACTAGAAAACGTCAAAAAAACCACCAATGTTTGCGTTTAAATGTTTTTGCTTAAAGTGTATTGAAAAATAATAGTACTTTAACATCTAGTTTTTTCATGGAATAGTGTGATTCGGATTGGAATGTATGGCTAATAGAGAAAAGAGTGGCATGTTTTAACCATAAGCCTTCAAAAGATTCGCCATTAATCATTGTGTATTTTTGACGGAAATTGATTCGTGACGAGGTCTATCAGAACGAATACAGAAATTCATAGAGAATTGAACTCAGTCGTAAGTAAGAAGGGCAATGAAAAAACCGCGAAAATGACAATTGGAGAGTAAGTTAAATATGTGATTGATCGCGAAACATTTACGTAGGTACAAGAACCCATTCAACAAACCCTTAGCACTCGTTTTATAAATAATTCTCAATTAAAGAGCGGGAGGACGATGATGAAGGCGATGAAGACATAGAAAGAGCCGAATCTAGACCATATTCATCTATGTGTCATCAAACGAATCTTACTTAGATTCATCTTTCTTATTACCTCTTTTGAAGAAATATTGCGCAAAAGAAACAACCTAGTAAGTCTTTGTAATTGGTCAACGATATCTTTACTGCTACTAATTTTCTGCTTATATTTTTTTAGCCCAGCCCACAGTTTTATTATAAATCTTTCGCATTCTTCAAAAATAAAAGGTCAATTTAATAATAGGCAGTGGACCGAGTTAATTAAAAGAAGACCTGGAGTGGTCAGGAATACCTATCATTACGAAATTGAGCCGCTTATTTCCAATTTATTTAGCCAAGAAGTAAAGATTTGTGGTTAGAAAAGTCGAGTAAATTTGGTCTCTTGATAACTTTTTTCCTTTATTTTAGATGGATCTTTTACAAGCTTGTAAAAAATGGCACGAACTTAGAAATTTGGCTGCTCCTGTATATAATGATGGATTCTTATACGCAAAAATGATTGGGATAAAATAAAGCATTGGGTGGAACGACAATTGTACGTTATTGAACTCATTCTCTATCATGCAATATGACAAAAATCACTGGTTGTAAAAATTTTCCTTATATGAAATAATGACTCACATTTATGAAAGTTTAATACATTTGTTAATCACCCATTATTACAAAAAATTATAAACTGCATATAATAAAAAAAGTTAAATTTTATTAGATAAATATGGCTCACATTGCATAAATTAGAATCATAATTTAACAAACTAATATAAAAAAAAGAAAATTAAGAATCATAAAATGTCTAATGCATAATATTTAATAAAATCAATGTGTTTTAATATGTAACATTTGATAGATTTAAACATTTTCTATTACAACGTTTCATAATTATGAGTAATACATCATAAATTTATGCTTCTTAGTTGTAATCTTAATTTAGATTTATTATACAAATAATTATCCGAATGATGAAATGAATGCATCTGATCGAATTTTGACGGAAAAAGGGTTGAGATATTGTTTAATTTAGTCATAATGATATAACATAAACCCAATATTCTATTAATTAGATTAATAAACATTATGACTAATGCATACACTTTTTTCATCATATTAACTATTGATGTTTGTGACTGATTAATCATGTCAATACGTCAATCCAAGTCATACTATCTACAGGATATTTTTTTTATATTTAAGATACCTTCCCCCATATACTGTATGAAATATTTGTTTATCTAAAAATATTTGTTTATCTTTAAATATTTATACATATCTAACAATTTATATTACTATTTTCTCAACAATTTATTAATTTTGTGAATTTATTGGTTATCTCTCTTAAATATTATATTTCCTTTTGTCATTTTCCTAACAATTTATATTACTATTTTTTTAACAATTTATTAATTTTGTGAATTTATTGGAAAGATTTTTCAATATGAGTATATCAAAGAACTATCCTGGCCAAAATGGTAATTCCCATAAATAGTATTATGACTTGTAATATTTTGACTTGACTTGTAATATCAGCTATTAATCAATCTTTTAACCTTTAAGAACTTATTTCTTACTTAAAGGAGCGAGGTAGTAAATCATCATATCGTGGATTTTTGGATTTATATCATAATATTATTGTTACTTCAACATTCTCAAATAACTGGAAAAATCTTGACAATGCTTGGGCTACTCACTTTTTGGAAGAATCAGAAAAGTTGAATTTTGATCAGGAGGTCTTAAAAGAGAAGGTGTGTAATTATTTTTATTTTGCAAAGTTGGGGTAACTCCTAAGCGAGTCGAGGAATACATCCTGGTTTGACTTAGGAGAATTACTGGATTTGTTCGCTTGGTAACCAACCCAAGTTTTCAATTCAGGCATCCTAATTTTGTCATTGGTAAAGTCTGCTAATTCTGGAGGAGGAATTGGCTATGTACCTTCTTTCACCATTAAATAAAAATTTGGCACACTATTAACATATGCTTCTTATTAGGTAAATACAGAACGTTTACAACATAGGAAAATATTACAATCATTCTGGCAAGAAATTATCAAAGAATATGAAAAAGAAATCTAGTCCCTACTATTGCTTCTTGTTCCAAGGTTTCTGCTAAAGATTTTTCTAAAACATCTCAACAAAAGGATATTGAACTTATTAATTTTTGTTATGATATTCTTCATGAACTTGAAAATAAAACTTGTGCTCTTCCATTTAAATGTATTAAAAAGAAAGATATGATTATAAAGCATCCAATGGATTTATCTACTATAAATTTAAAATTAAAAAATAATCAATACAAAAGTTTAGAAGGATTTGAAAAAGATATTCGTCTAATATTTCATAATTGTTATACATATAATGAGGCTGGAAGTGAGATTTGTTATTTAGGTGAAGTATTAGAATCTGTTTTTAATAAAAAATGGATTGAAAAAATTACTCATCAAGTTAAACAAAGAGATGAACTGAAAAGAGTAAGAGATGATGCTGATATAGAAAGTGGTAAGTCATCACTTTTTATTAAATTATAATTAATTATATTTAATAATACATTAAATTACTATATTTTAATTTTATTTACTAGAACACTGGAAAAAACAATGCCAAATTTTAGAGGAAAATAAAAATAATGTAGTATATAGACAGTTTGTTGATAATGCATTTCTTATTGCTTCAGCATATGAAAGTCTTATTGAAGGTAATATTATACCTTTTATTAAAACTCTGAAAACCTTTTTATTGACAAGATCACGAATGTCTCTATCCTCAACAAATGAGCCTGTAATTCAGGCGATTATAGAAAACTTTTTGCCATTAAAATATTGTATACCAGAACTTGCATTAGTAATAAATGGTAAAAAGCCAAAAGGATCAGGCCGGTTTGGTTTTTCAGATATTTTTGTTCTAGGTAAAACAGGAGTTAATAATATTAGTTTAGAATTAAAATGTATTTCATTAATTGGCTTAATAGAAAATCAGGTAAATAATTTTAATGCAAATGAACTGGAAATTCTTGATAAAATGCTTGAAAAGGAAGATGAAGAATCTTTATTAAAAAGAACATATGTATATTGGTCAAATAGGTGAAGTGTTAAATAATGGGATAAGCCAATTGAAATTGTATATGAAAACAATTTCAAAAGGAAAAAACATTAATTATTCCAGTTCAGGGGTATTTGATGAACGTGTTAAAATAACTAAATCAGATCCTAATAAGTTAAAAGGATTTGTTATCTTAGTAATTGGCTTTCATCGTATTTTGTGGAGACCTGTTGAGGAAATAATAACTAATTATACATATAATAAGATTTAGCTTAGCAAGTAACAAATTTATAATACTAGCTTTTTTAGGAAACCCTATTCAATAACAGTTCAATAAATATAATAATTAATACTGTACAAATTATATATTAATATGCTCAAAAATTAGAAATTAGTAAGTAAAGTACAAATTGAAAAATAAATTATATTAATATTTTATTATACTTATATATTACATATAGTATTACCATTGCTTATGTAAATGAAAAATAATTTGCGTATATATTATATTAGGATTTGCTTATTAACCATATAAAAATCATAAAAAAAGTTTCTTATTTTATCAGTTTTAGGTTTTATTAAAATTTGCCATTATTAAATTCATCTTAATAAAAGGAATCCAATGATAGTAATGTTATTTTTTAGCTTTCACATTTGTTAAAATATAATAACATAAAATGAAAATATATAATATTATATATACTTTATTTTTCTATTACTTACTACTAAATGTTCAAATAAATATATCCAAATGCTTCCATTTGCATATTTTGCAAATATGTAAAAACAATCTGGAATTTATATCAGATGATTGATTTGTATAATATATTTTTTTATGTAATAATGTTAAGATTTATTAAATATATCAATTCATTCTAATAAAGATGAATGTTTCTCAGTTATAATTAGAATGGTAGTCACTTAATAAAATCATAGCGGCACTTGTCTTTTAAAATGTACTTAGTACTACACGAAAATGGGTGAGTGACAATATTTATATGATCACGCACATGACAGTAGAATTTTTATAGAACGGATGGAATTTTATTTTCACAGAATTTTTTAAATATACGGATAAAAATTTTTTATAGGGTTCAAAAAATTCTGCATAAATCATGTAATCATCACATATCACATGATTGTGATTAAAGAGTAATCAATATACATGATAAATTATGTAAACAAAAAATATAAGAAGAGATATGAATAAAAATCTATAGATTATTTTAGTGAAAAAATATTTTACAATTAAATTTATTTTATTTTATTCAATAAAACCCTATAAAAAATTTTATCCATTATTTCTATAAAAACTCCGTAAGAAATGAGCCTTTCATGGATCCATTCACAATAATTTGATAAATTCCGTGATATAAGGCTAAATATGAGCCTTTTATGGAAAAAAAGACGGAATATAAAAAACGGATCGACTTTTTTTACAGGGAAAAAATTTTGGTTTATGTAATAGTTAGGCGACACAAAGTGGTAAAAATGGTTTTCATAGTCCGGCCGGGTCAGTTTTTGTTAGGTCTTAAAAAAAATTTTTTATATTGTTACTATGCCGGGTGAGAATTTTTTAAAAATTGAAAAAAAATTTCACATATAAAATTTTTGAAAAAAAAAATTAAAAGCCGGGTTGCCGGGTTATTGATGAAATTTTTATATTATGAAAACCATAAAATCAAGTTTGTATGGCCTTAATTTAAAGCTAAAAAAAATTTTTTACTTGCAAAAAAAAGAAAAAAGATCAATCGGTCTTAAAAAGACTGTGGTTCTTAAAGGCCGATGGTCTTATTGTATGTGATACAGGACTGAAAGACCGCAGTCCTCCACCTAGACTTACCGGTCCGTCTTTTTAAGGTATAAGACCGTAGGACCACGGTCTTTTAGGATCAATGACCATCTTTAATTCGGTTTCGAATGTAATTAATAGGGGGAACTAAAGATTGTTTAATTTTGATTAGAAAATATCATTGATAATGAAAGTGAGTTGGAAGATAATAATAGTGGAAGTGAAAATTATTATGAATAAATGAAGAGTAATGTAATTCATGATTGAAATTAATTACAATTAATAAGAATTAATATTTACAGCTTTAACTAAATAATTTGAGCTATTATTTTGTAACCAATTTTAAGTTAGTGACGAATAAAATTTCTTTGTCTTATCCAAGTATTATTATCAAAATAATGGGCTTTAACAGCTTTTTTTACCTTTCGCTCTTATTGTAAAATAATAATAATTGTGACGAATTGTAATATTCACTTGTTATTAACATTTACTTGCCTTATAAAAATATTGTCCAAACACTGTTCGGTTTTTTGTTCGGAAAATCAACTCCGTTCCGAATATTTACCTGATATTTATTGGACATTCATCATGATTTGTACGTTTTTTTAAAAATTCTCAATCTCCGCATCTTGTATTAAATTGTGACAAATATTGTATAATAGCGTGCGAGTATCCGGAAAATTGGCCCCGTTCCGAATATTTATCGGACAAACATTTTTTATAGGGTTGTAAATAAAATTTTTATAGTTTTTTACTCATAAATGATTTTTATGACAAATAGATTTTTATTTGCATGAAAGTTATTGTTATTAAAAGAAATTTAATACATATATAGTATAGGTATTTAATTTGCTAATAAAATAAATATCTTAATTACGGTAAATACTTAAAATAATTTTTTTTTTCAAATTACAAAATAATGTTCTTTATCTATATATAATACTTAATATATCGTAACTCCATTTTGTATAAATGACATAAAATATATATATATGAAACAAAAAATGATAAAACTCAATAGTAATACTTTTTTTTAAAAAAAAAATAAAGTTTAAAATAATTTTGTATGGCATACAATAAAATTTTAAACTCATTGTAGTTGTTGGTTAAGGCGTAGATCGGTTAATTATCGGTTAACTTTATCCGGATTAAATATCGGTTTTAGCCCGTTAAGGTTTTTTGTCGGTTCCAATTCCGATCAGCATCATACTTTAGGTAATTCCGATATTTGTCGCACAATAAAAAATTTTTTTTTTATTTTTTTTTTTTGAAACAGCCGATCATGTATCGTCATGTGCAAATATGCAAAAATAATTTGTGCGACAAACGGAATTGCCGTCCCGATATTCAGATAATAAATTAACCATATTTTGAAGTTCACTTTTAATTTCGGGAACTTCTTTCTCTTTTTCTCTTTTCTCTTAAAATAATGGCGTGTTCAAAATTATTTTCAGGAGATTTACCTGAGTTAATAAACGAAGTTGTACAATATTTTCGTTATGATTACAAATCGTTACATTCATGTGCATTAGTTAGTAGATTATGGTGTCGTTTAGCAATTCCTTTATTATGGGAAGATCCATTTTCAATTAAATTTCCTAAAAATTATCACTTTATTGAAATTTATTTACATAATTTAAATGATTATGATAAATTAAAATTAAATGAATATGGAATTAGTAATGATTTATTCCCTTCAAATATATTATTTAATTATCCTAGTTTTATTAAATGTTTAGATACACAAAGAATTAGTAATTCTATTGAAAATTGGGTTACAGCTGTTGGGATGATAACAACTAAATCACAATATCTCAGAGCTTCCATACAAAGTACAAATTTATCCTCACAAATGTTAATCTTTACAAAATTAATTTGTAGATTATTATTTTTAACGTTCATTGAGAATGAAGTAAATTTGTATAAGTTTGAAATTACAATGATCGCACGTAAAGAATTTGAAATTTTTGATGAGATTTTTGAATTAATATTACAAAATCCAAAATTCATTTGTAATATTAAAGATTTTAAACTAGATTTTAATACAACGACCGAAAATATAATGAAATTTTTAATCTTTCTTCACTCAAATTGTAATTCAATTTCATCACTTTATTTTCTATTTACATCATGTAACAATAATTATCAAATGACTGAAAAACATTTATCGCAAATGATTAATTCTCAAAAAAATCTTAGAAAGCTTTTACTTGGTTTTAATGATTTCCCCTTGCACTATTCACTATTATCATTACAAAGTCCTAATTGTTTAAATACGTTAAACACAATTATATTTTATTATGTTGATTTTAAAAATATAACTGTTTTAACTGAAGTTTTTAATCAATTGAATGTTTTAGAATCAATTCATATTATTTATTGTCTTTCTCTAAATTCTAGATTTATTCAACAAATTAATAATGTTACTAAACCACTTAGATTAAAATCCTTATTTTTGGATGAAGTATTACAAATTGATGAATCATTAGAATTATTAATACAAAAATCTGGTAGTTATTTAGAATATTTTGGAATTATAAATTACGAATCACAACAATTACTACGATTAATTATAAAATATTGTAGTAAAATTAAATTTTTGGGTCCTACTTGGATGGATAGTCAAAGTATTTATTTATTTTTTAATTTAATTGAAAATATTTCTCAAAATCTTAATTATCTTTTAATTGATTCCCTTGATGTTGGTTATGATAATCATTTTAGTTCAATTATATTACAAAATTTAGGACAAATTCTTCCATTTAATTTAGAATATTTGAATTTGAGTCTTACAATTAATACAAGTGATTTTGAAGTATTCTTGAAAAATTCTCAAAATACTTTTATTAAAAAATTATTAATCAGTAATATAAAGAAAAATGAAAATGAAGATATTTTCCCTTATATAAGAGAATATATTGTGAAAAGGAAAAGAGTTAAATATTTATCTATTTTAGAATCCTTTTATGGAAAATATGAAGATTTATTTTCTTTAAAAGAAGTAGTAGAAGAATTTGAATTTTATTCTATTCAAGTTCTAAATTATGATGATTTATTCATTGATATTTATGACTTTATAAATTTTGTAAAAGAAATAGATTAGAAATTTATATAATTTAGATTTAACTTTTTAAATAAAGCCGTAAAATATAAAAATTTTAGTTCCCAATATTTATTACTTGGAGTGGTTTTAACAGTCTTTAGTTTTTTTTCTTATTTCATATTTAATATTTATAAATCCTATTTTTAGACAAAATTAATAGCTTAAAAATGTCAGTTTTAATGTTGAGCAAAAATCAAAAAAAAAAAATAAATAAATATAAGATTAAAAATTCCACTTAAAATTTTTTTACTGTGGTAGTACCGCATTAAACTATTATATAGTTTAAATCATCCAATAATAATATTATCTGTTTGACAGAACCGTTCATGCAATTTTCAATAAACTCTGTTATTATCCAATAATTTTATTATTATGCTAATACATAGTAATATGAGATAACTGACCTAAATAACAATTATCCTTTAGTTGATACGGTATTTTGCTCTCCTTTGACATCTGCTTCCACATATTTCTGTTGATTTTTGAAATTTCACATATTATTCATCTTTACTTAAAAACTTCAATCCTAAATAGGGATGGCAACGGTCCGGACCGATATCAGTCATTTGACCGACCGGCTGACCGACCGTTTGACTGACCGTTTGACCGATTTTTAAGTGTTATTCATGTCATATTACTATTGGTTTAATTATTGCATTTTTTGATTTTTCGTTTGTCATCTGCATAACAATTTAATAAAATAATTTTAACTATTTTCCACCGTTATATTTTTTAATTTCTTATTTATTGTGCTACAATTTAAAAATTGATTAGAATTAGATAATTTTTTACTATCCTATCGTTCCATTGCATAATCATTTACTGTATTACGATTTTAGCCTTTGTTACATTTTTTTAGTTTTATTTAATAGAGATCTTTTATTCTATTCATAATACTTATTTGTTATTATTATTATTATTTAATATTTTATTTATTTCTCCCTTTTAGTTTAAGATAAAGCATTTCTTACATTTATTTTAGTTATATCAATATAAAATTAAAATTTTATTAACAAAATAAAATAGTTTATATCAAACTGATTTCATAATACGGGATACTTAGCAAATTTTAAAGAACTCGAAAATATTCGGTAAAGTTCAAAATAAGATAAAATTATACCACCATTCATGGAATAGTACTCCAAAATTAGCGTATAATTTTTATTTTATATCAAGCTTTACCAAATATTTCCGAGTTCTTTAAAAATTTGCTAAGTATCCCGTATATTATGAAATCAGCTGTAAATAAAAAACAAACCCCACTTTTAGCAGGCCGGTCAGAACGGTCAGTCAAATGTCGGTCGGTCAAAGAGTCTCTGACTGGAGATGCAGTTAGAACTCGATCAAATTGGGATGAGCCGTAACACAACTTAGTTACAACTCTTTAAGATACGGCAAATTAGAACTGGTAAATGCGCCGTAACTGGTATTGTCATGTGATCGTCATGTGCCACTCCGAAATTGATCGATGTTGCAAATGTTTAACATGATTAACATGTCGGACATAATTAATATGCCGAACATGATTAACATGTCGAACCTAATTAACATGTTGGTTATGATCAACGTATTGAACATGTTAGTCATATTATACATAGTAAATATATTAAATTTCTTCGTATATGTATAATTTATTATAAATATAGGTCAATTTTCTTGTTGTAATAAGAGGGAATAAATAAAGTTTTATTTTTAAAATTATAAAGTGATAATCAAGTGAAATCCTTTATTCGTGTTTGGAAGTATATGCCGACGTACAGCGCTATACAACACGTCTGATCGGATAATTTTGATACATTGTTTAATACATTGATTAATTATACACTAATAAACCTTCTGCTACCTAACCATATAAATTGCTTAATATTTTTAAGCGTAAAGAACTGATACAACAGTATATGTGCAACATATTTACATACTTTATTTTATACTTTATAATATATCATATCATTCTAATTATTCATTCTTTTTCTCCTTCATTACTTTCATTACTATTAAAATTATTGTTCCGTGAAATTTATAATCAAAGAAGTTATCTAAAATCAGTACGGAAACTTTAAATTTTTATAACAAATTCGAGAGATTTAAAAAATTTATACTGTTAAGCCATGTATACTATTAAACTATTTTATGCTAGAGGTTGGAACCGGTCCAAAAAGTCTTAACGGTTAATAACCGGTTAACCAAACCTTTAACCGGTTAATTAACCGGTTAAAACTCAATCCTAGCCAGCATTAAAATTCGGCCAGGATTAGCATCAAATATATTTTTAATCCCGGCCAAAATTAGGCCAGATCAAAACTCTAACTAATCGAAACGAAACTTTAGCTGAAAGACGAAATTCAGGCCAAATTGTCTGGCCGGCACTATGAATTTTGGCCCGCATTATGAATTTTATATAACACAAAAATTCCACCACCTCGTCGTTAGTATCTAACCTGGTGGCTAAACTTTTATCTGAAGTCCCGTGATTTATAATTCTGGCCGGCACTGTAAATTTGGCCAGAATTACAAATATTTTTCAGTATTTTAACCAGTTAATTTAACCGATTAATTTAACCGATTAATTTAACCGGATAATTTAACCGGATAATTTAACCGGTTAAAAATTGTTTTTTACAGCAAATTTCAAAATATACGGGACACTTGAGAAATTTGATTGTCGGGTTGTCGGGTAGCCGGCAGTAGGTTATTATATAATCTGATATACTACTATTCATTATACTCGTCACGTGTTATTTATACTTTTCTAATAAACAACCTACTGCCGAGTAACCCGGCTACCCGACAACCCGACAATCAAATTTCTCAAGTGTCCCGTATATTTTGAAATTTGCTGTAACCAGTTAACAAATGTTTTAACCGGTTAATTAACCGGTTAAGCTTAACCGGTCCAAACCTCTATTTTATGCTATCTACTTAGACTATTTATACTCTACGGCGGCGTCATTGGCCACAGTAAAAGTTACGGCATTAATAACATTATCGGCACNGTAAAAGTTACGGCATTAATAACATTATCGGCACATTGAGTTTCACATGGTTTTGCCGTAACTGTGGTCACAATCCACTATATGCCGGCCAATTCATTGGGACAGTTCCAACTGCATCACTTATGACCGACCATGACCGAACTGTTGCCCATCCCTAATTCTGAATAAAATAAATTTGGTGTTTGTTTTACACAACTGTTTTCAAAATTATCTAAAACATATGTAGGTATAAGAAAAGTCATCAATTTTTTTTACTTCTGTCTCGCGATTTTTAAATAAACACTTTTTAATATAATTGGAACGTATGTATTTGGTATTAAATAAATTGAGCGAACTATCATATAAATCATGAATTTGTTATATGATTTTATAATATTATAATAGATAATGATCTTTTTATAATGAAAAGATAGTTTTATATATATTTAAAATATATATTTAAAATATAAAATTATAAATAACAATAATTTAAATGAAATAACAGTTTATATTATTACAATACATTACACGAGTAAAAAATTTAATGAATTCAAAAAAGTATAAAGAAAAATTTAATAATAATAATAAAAATTAAACAATACAAACAATACACGATTAAAAAGTTCAAATAATACAATGAATTCAATGAGACAATGACAAGCAATATACAATTAAAAAATTCAAATAAAGATTACAATGAATTTAATAAAAATACAAAGAAAAAGTGATCATTAATTTAATAATATAAAAGATACTAAAAAAAAAATCCCTTTATTTTTTTATGGAATCGATTTTTAAATAACATGATATTATATGAGCAAAGATATAATTGATCGATTAATTGATTATAATTTATACGATATTTTGTTGTTATATCTATTAGTATAATATAAGATAAGTTGCGATTCCATTCAAGTTTATCCAATAATTAATGAATAAATTATAATATAAATATGATATTATAAACAATATAAATAAGATTTAATTATTTATACTGACTTACATGAAATATTGAGATATCAAATAAAATAATCACAAAATTACCATCATTAAATTTTAAAATAAGAAATGAAACTTTAACCTATATATCGTGAATAATAATAGTGAGACATGTAAATTATTAGATAAATTCAAAAATAATTAAAATTCCAAAGAATCTTTACATGGTAGCATCTTTATTAGCTACTTCTTATATTGTGCTTCAAGAGAATGGTTTCTTGAAATCCAAATCATATATGGATATTAATTTAAAATTTTGAGGGAAAATTAAAATAATTTAGTTTTTTTATTAAAGAAGGAGCTGAAAAGAAACAAAGAATAAAAGAACTAGACGATAAACTTACAAAACATTTATAGGTAATAGGTGCATATGATGATTGTCAAACTTACTATTTGAAATTGATCAATTATTAGCAAATTGGTGTGTTCTTACTGACTCTACAGATAAATTGGATGAAATTAAATAAAATTGAGTATACAACAGTTGTAAGAAATATGCATGAAGTTGCGTTTAAAAAATTTAGTTAAAGACTTATTAATAGGTTGAAATGCAATTATATATCTGGATATCAAAAATTGGCACGTTGTTTTTTGCTTGGATTTGTAATAAATAATTATTACCATAATCAGATAAAGACTGAAAAAATAATAAAAAGCCTCGTAAAGTAAGTCAAACAAATCAGAATTCGTCAAAAATAATGGCCATATAATTTCAATTAGCTCTAGTTTAATAGTGAAAAATATCAGAAATTAATTCTGTTAAAAATAAAGTTTCATTAAAACTTTCTTTAACAATAATAAACTATCTGGAAATTGGTAAATTTGCCAATCTTGATTTTTGACTGGTACTTTTTAATGATCTGACTGCGCCATTCAATTTACAAAAATTCCTTAAAGATTCTATACTTAAAGATCCAATGATTTATAGAATCCTTAAAGGTCTTTATAATGGGTTGAAAGAATTTAAGGAACCAACAAATTATCAGATCTTTAAGGATTTTAGAATATTCTAAGGAATTCTTAGGGATCCATAACTGAAAAATTTACTAATAGTATTTACTTTTAATGTAAAATTTAAAAGGCACACAAATTCAATTTTTCAGTTCACATAACATTGAAACTTAAAATCGACCTGGGTACCTGGGGACCTGGGTTCATTGTTTATTAATAATAAATAAGTTTATATATATAAAATCGGGACATCTGATTAATTTACTTTTAAAGGGGAGGGTAATTAATTCTCTCCAGAAGTTCTCAGCCACATGATAAACTTACCCGCCAATAAAATCACGCTCTGATCACATGATAAACTTTTTATATAAACTTTTTTTTATTGAAATTTGAAAAAGTGACCTGGCCGGGTGAAGTGAACCGAAAAATCGAATTTGTGTGACCTAAAATATTGAAATGGATATGAAGATATCATAAAGTACAGATGACAGATTCAAATTCTAAGTCAAAATTAGAATATTATTGTTATAATTATATTTATTATTGATAAAATGTTATTTATATATCACATAAACTTCCTATACAGTTTCGATATACCAATATTCAATATACTGATATACTATTAAAAACTTGATATACTGATAAAACTTTATTTTCCCACTATATGTGAGGGCATATAAATATTGGTATAACTTTGATATAACGATATTTCCTAAAAATGTCATGACATATCATTATATAAAGGTTTGACTGTATATACCTTTCCAAAACCTCCTGATTATACATACCACCATTGTCTAAAGAGAAGATTTTTGATCTACATTATATTACAAGAAACCAATGGAACAATAATAGCTGCTACTGCTGCTAATCCAGAAATAAATGAGCCAATTTGTCCTAAATTAGATAATTTATCTTCAAATTTCGAAACATGCTTATCCATTTCCTGAATAACTAGTTCTCGGTTCTCATTTTTCATATAATCCATAATTCTTTCATTTAATTTTTCCAAGTTACTTGGCCTGTAAACTCCTATCTGCTTATTCAAATGGTTTAATAGGATAGCTTTTGACTTTTTTCTTTTACTAATATCATTTGAAGGATTATCTAAATGAATAAAAAAATTACAGTTTTTAATTATGGCCATTATTCGAGATTTTTCTTCAATTAATAATCTTTGATTGTTTTGGCATTCTTCCTCATCTTCAAACTTCTCAAAGTTAGTTCGTACAATTGTGGTATAGTTTTTCACATTTTCATCAAAAAGAACAGTTTCTAGTATTTTATAAACTTGGATTTCTTCCTCAGTAAAGCGGCCATTATTAACTAAAAGAATTTGATGCAAACCATCCTTTAATTCACGAGCCAACTCAGCTAATTTATATAAAATATCTTCCCGACTTAGTTTAGTATCATTTAAGCCAATAGTATCAATTACTTCATAGATTATCTCCTTTTCAACAAATTGACATCTTTGGATTGTTTTAGTTTGGCTAATAGAATAGTTGCTTTCTTTAAATTTGTTAGTACTAGTCAATACATTAGCCAAAGTAGATTTACCACTACCTGTGCAACCAATTAGTAATATTTTTCTAGGTAGTTTTTTAGTAAATTCTTCTATTATCTGATTTTTCTTGTCTATTATTTCCTGAAATCCTTGACACTTTTTCTTCCAGTCTTCATCTTGAATTTTCTCCATAAGTTTTTTTATTTTTTCTTCTTTTTCTAGTTTATTTTTTTTTAATTTGTCAATTTTTTCGATTAATTCTTCTTTTTCTTTAACCAATTCTCCTAGTTTAGCTATATTCTTGCTACTAATATTAATAGTAAATTTACCTATTTGCCCCATTTCCTTTAACTTATTATTAAGCTTCTTTTCCATATTTTCTAATTGTTCTTGATTACTTTTCAATTCTTCCTTCAGCTTTTCTAACTCTTTTTTTTGCTTAATTTTGTTTTTGGTAAGTTTATTTATTTTATCAGTGATAAATGGTATGGCTTCAATTTCAGACAATTTACTTTGTGTGTTAACTAAACTTTGTTTACTTTCTTCATTTTTAATTTCCAGTTGCTTGATATTATTCTTCAATTCTTTAACCTTAGAAATAATTAATTCCCGCTCTTCACTACTTTGTCTAAGTTCTAATTCAATTTGAGTATTTTTTAATATTTCATCAGCCTTAATTAATTCCTCTTCTACTTTTACTAGCCTCAATCTTTCTTTTTCCATTTCTTCAGCTAATTCATTTATTTTTTGTTGTTTTTCTTCTTTATTTTTGATTAATATTTTTATTTCATGATTTAGTTCCTTTTCCAGTGTCTCTAGTTCATCTTCCAATTCTTCTTTTTCTTCTTGTAAGTGATTTGATCTTTCATGATAATAGGCAGTTTCTTTATTAGCTGTTTCAATGATTTTTTCCTTTTTTACTAATTCAATTTCTAATTCGCTTATTTTCTTATCCAATTCCTCTTCTAGTCTAGTTTTTTCTTTAGTTATGTTTTGAGAATTTTGTTGAAGTGTTGCTATTTCGTTTTCTTTTTGTTTAATTTTTTCTTGTAGTAATTGATCATTTTGTTTTTGGTTGATTTTTATATTAGCTTTTATTTGCTCTTGAACTTGGATTAAATCTTTCTCAATAGTTTGATTTTTCTCCTTTAATTTGTTTATTTCATTTTCCAATTTTCCTTTTTCTTCTTGTAAGTTGTTTAAGTTTTCATTTGCCACTTCAATAATTCTTTCCTTTACTGTTAGTTCCACTTTTAGTTCAGTTTTTTCTTTAACCAAATTTTGAGAACTTTGCTGAAGAGCTGTTATTTCCAATTTTAGTTCAGTTTTATCTTTGTTCAAATTTTGAGAACTTTGCTGAAGAGCTGTTATTTCCAATTTTAGTTCAGTTTTTTCTTTGTTCAAATTTTGAGAACTTTGCTGAAGAGCTGTTATTTCATTATCCTTTTGTTTAATTATTTCTTGTTTTTTAACTATCTGTTCTTGTAATTGAGAATTTTGTTTTTGGCTGATTTCTGTATTAACCTTTACATGCTCTTGAATTCGAATTAAATCTTCCTTGATAATTTGATTTTGGCCTTTTAAATTGCTTAATTCATTTTCCAATTTTTCCTTTTGTTCTTGTAATAAGTTGTTTGAGTATTCATATTTATAAATGACTTTTTTATCTACTTCAATAATTTTTTCCTTTTTTGTTAATTCAATTTCTAACTCACTTATTTTTTTATTTAATTTATCTTCTAGTTCATTTTTTTCTTTGGTTAATTTTTGAGAATTTTGCTGAAGTGTTGCTATTTCATTTTCCTTTTCTTTAATTTTTTCTTGTCTTTTAATAATCTCTTCTTGCAATTGAACATTTTGATTGTGATATTTTTTATCAGTTTCTCTAATATGAACTTTTATTTGCTCTTTATAATCTTCTGCCAGAATTTGTCTTTGTACTGATAGTTTGTTTATTTCATCTTCCAATTTTCCTTCAGATTAATAAAATAAATTATTAATATTTAAAAGTTAATTAATATAATCAAATTTACTAACTTTGAAGTTCTCCTTGATTACTAATGCTAATTTGTGATGATTGTAGATTATAAAATTACCCATTGATTAGAGAAATGAAGTGTTATTTAATGATAAAATCATATTGAACCTCTGATTTTAAAAGTGATGCACTTACCCTCTGGTAATTTAATTGAATTGTAATTGATCAGTAATTGATTAGAGAATAATGTCTGTCTCTTATACACATCTAGATGTGTATAAGAGACAGGTTTTATACTTTGATTTTAAAAATAATTATACTTACAGTCTGGTAATTTAATTGAATTGTAATTGATCAGTAATTGATTAGAGAAATGAAGTGTTATTTAATGACAAAATCATAATAAATTTCAATTTTAAAATAATACACTTACAAACTAGTAATTAATTGAATTGTAATTAATCAGGAGAAATGAAGTGTTATTTAATGACAATATCATGATGAAACTTTGATTTTTAAAAATGATCATAAAATCTTCTTATACTCACGCACTGGTAATGTTATTAAATTGTGATTATCAATCAGTAATTGATTAGAAAAATGATGAATTCAATTATCTAATAACAAATCATTATGAAATTTTAATTTTAAAAAATGAATACTTACTGACTGGTAATGTAATTGAATTTGTAATTAATCAGCAATTTGTTAGAGAAATAATGAATTCAGTTATCTAATAACAAACCATTATGAAACTTTGATTTTAAAAAATAAATACTTACCGACTGGCAATTTAATTGAATTGTGATTGATCAGCAATTTGTTAGAGAAATGATGAATTATCTAATAATAAATCATTATAAAACTCTGATTTTAAAAATGAACACTTACCGACTGGTAATTTAATTGAATTGTGATTGATCAGCAATTGATTAGAAAAATGATGAATTATCTAATAACAAATCATTATTGAAACTCTAATTTTAAAAATGAATACTTACCGACTGGAATTGTAATTGATCAGTATTTGATCAGGTTATTTAATGACAAAATCATAATTTTAAAAATGCTTATGAAAACTTATACTCACGGTCTGGTAATTTAATTAAATTGTGATTGATCAGCAATTGATTAGAGAATGAAGTGTTATTTAATAATAAAATCATTATGAAACTTTGATTTTAAAATGATGCATTTACCGTCTGGTAATTTAATTGAATTATGATTAATCAGTGATTGATTAGAAAAATGATGTGTTATTTAATGACAGAAACTTTAATTTTAAAAAATTACTATTAAAGTTTAATACTCACTCACTGGTAATTTAATTGAATCATTGTTAATCAGTAAATGATTAGAAAAAAGATGTATTATTTAATGACAAATTATTATGAGACTTCAATTTTAAAAAATAATTTACTAACTTTCTGATTAATTGAATTGTGATTGACCAGTAATTGGTTAGAGAAATGATGTGTTATTAAATGATAAAATCACTATGAAACTTTGATTTTAAAATGATGCATTTACCGTCTGGTAATTTAATTGAATTGTGATTAATCAGTGATTAATTAGAAAAATGTTATTTAATGACAGAAACTTTAATTTTAAAAATAATTGTTAAAGTTAATACTCACTCACTGGTAATTTAATTGAATGTAATTGTTTAGAAAAATGTTGTATTATTTAATAACAAATTATTATGGAACTTTAATTTTAAAAAATAATTCACTTACTTTCTGATTAATTGAATTGTGATTGACCAGTTATTGATTAGAGGAAATGAAGTGTTATTAAATAATAAAATCATTATGAAACTTTGATTTAAAAATAATCATGAAATCTTATACTCACATTCTGGTAATTTAATTTAATTGTGATTGATCAGTTATTGATTAGAGAGATAAAGTGTTATTTAATGTCAAAATCATTATAAAACTTTGATTTTAAAATGATCATGAAATTTTATACTCACGGTTTGATAATTTAATGAATTGTGATTGATCAGTAATTGATTAGAGCCATGATGTGTTTATTTAATGATAAAATCATTATGGAACTTTGATTTTAAAAATGATAATGAAATCTTATACTCACATTCTGGTAATTTAATTGAATTGTGATTAATCAGCAATTGATTAGAAAAATGATGTGTTACTTAATGATGACAAATTATTATGAGACTTTAATTTTAAAAATAATTTACTTACTTTCTGATTAATTGAATTGTGATTAATTAGCAATTGATTAGAGAAATTATGTGTTGTTTTAATGACAAATTATTATGAGACTTTAATTTTAAAAATAATTTATTTACTTTCTAATTAATTGAATTATGATTGATCAGTAATTGATTAGAGAAATGAAGTGTTACTCAATGATAAAGCATTATGAAACTTTGATTTTAAAAATGATCATGAAATCTTATACTCACATTCTGGTAATTTAATTTAATTGTGATTGATCAGTAATTGATTAGAGATATAAAGTGTTATTTAATGATAAAACAATCATGAAACTTTGATTTTAAAATGATCATGAAATCTTATACTTACGGTCTGGTAATTTAATTGAATTGTGATTAACCAGTAATTTATTAGAGAAATAAAGTATTATTTATTAATAAAGTCATTTTAAACCTTTGATTTTAAAAATAATTATACTTACAGTCTGGTAATTTAATTGAATTGTAATTGATCAGTAATTGATTAGAGAAATGAAGTGTTATTCAATGATAAAATCATTATGTAACTTTAATTTTAAAAATGGCACTTACCGTCTGGTAATTTAATTAAATTATTGATTAGAGAATGTGTTATTTAGTAACAATTCTTTATAAAATTCGGATTTTAAAAATGATACACTTACCCTCTGGGAATTTAATTGAATTGTGATTAAACAATAATTGATTAGAAAAATGAAGTATTATTTAATGACAAAATCATTATAAAACTTTGATTTCAAAATAATAATGAAATCTTATACTCACGGTCTGGTAATTTAATGAATTGTGATTTATTAGTAATTGATTAGAGAAATGAAGTATTATTTAATAACAAAATCATTTTGAACATTTAATTTTAAAAATGATCATGAAATCTTATACTCACAGTCTGGTAATTTAATTGAATTGTAATTTATAATTAATCAGGGAAATCAAGTGTTATTTAATGATAAAATCATTATGAAATGAAACATTGATTTTAAAAATTAT